GGGTCGCTGTGGATCAGAACCGACTCAATGGCCCCTTAGAACACAGCAAACGCTGTGGAGCAGCTCCCCCCACACGTGAGCGAGTGAGAACCGCCTCAGTGGCGGCCCATGTCCCCAGCCCGGCCTGCAGACCACGGCTTCACTTCTCTTTCTCCCTTCCTTGCTTCTTCTCTGGTCATCCGGTCTGTATCTCTCCTTCTCCCTGTCAGCGGCCATACACTGAAGGCAACGTTTGCTTTCTTTATTGGATACGTTTACCTGTCCCTCACTTAACACAAAATGGCCAGGTGTTTGAAAAACCTTTTGCTAAGAACTAAATTGAACGGTTGGGTAAAGGCTCTGGAGCTGGGGGAGGATGGTGCTGGCCGGGACTCTGCCGTGAGCAGCCGTGTGGCCTGAGTCCGTCTCCTTTCACGGGTCTGGGACTTCTTGTCATCGTTTGTAAGATGAGGGTGGTTGACCTCTCATGCCTCTCTATGTTTTGGGGTATAAGTGAACCCCTGTAAAAGTTGGATACTATATTAGGGGAAAGAGACCTCAGATTCAAACAGGTTCAGTAGAGAGACTTTCATTAAATTTTGGACAGAACAAAGGTCTCTTTTCCCCAATGCGATACCCACTGCCACTGAGTTGATTCCAACTCATAGCAACCCTCGTAGGGTTTCCAAGGCTGTAAATCTTTACAGAAGCAGACTGCCCCATCTTTCTCCAGTGGAGCAGCTGGTGGGTTTGAACCACTGACCATTTGGTTGGTAGCCCAATGCTTTAACCACAGCACCACCAGAGCTCCTTAAAAACTCAATGTGGTGGCTGTGAGATGCCATTGAGTTGCTCCAACTCATAGTGACCTGTGTCAACAGAATGACACACTGCCTGGGCCTGGGCTGTCTTCACGGTCCTGCCAGCGCTTGAACCCGTTGTTGCAGCCACGGTGTCACTCCATCTCATTGAAGGTGTTCTCTCTCTCTCTTTTTTTTTTTTTACTGACCCTCCACTTTCCCAAGCATGATATCCTTCTCCAGGGAATGATCCCTTCTGACCACATGACTAAAGTAGATGAGATGACATCTGGCCATTCGTGCTTCCAAGGAACATTCCAGCTGTACTTCTTCAGGACAGATTTGTTCATTCTTCTGACAGTCCATGGTATATTCAGTATTCTTCACCAGCACCACAATGCAAAAATATCACCTCTTCTTCTGCCTTCCTTATTCATTGTCCAGCTCTCACATGCGTGTGAGATGACTGAAAATACCATGGCTTGGGTTAGGCGCACCTTGGTCTTCAAAGTGACATCTTTGCTCTTCAGCACTTTAAAGAAGTCTTTTGCAGCAGATTTGCCCAGTGCGATATGATGTCTGATTTCTTGACTACTGCTTTCATGAGTGTTGATTGTGGACCCGAGTAAAATGAAATCCCTGGTAACTTCAATCTCTTCTCCATTTATCATAATGTTGCTCATTGGTCCAGTTGTGAGAGTTTTCGTTTCCTTTATGTTGAGGGATAATCCATACTGAAGGCTGCAGTCTTTGATTTTCATCAGTAAGTGCTTCAAGTCTTCTTCACTTTCAACGAGCAAGGTCGTGGCATCTGCATATCACGGTTGTTAATGAGTCTTCCTCCAGTCCTGATGCTGTGATCTTCATACAGTCCAGCTTCTTAGACTATTTGCTCAGCAGACAGATTGAATAAGTACAGTGAAAGGATACAACCCTGATGCGCTCCCTTCCTGATTTTAAACCATGCATTGTCCCCTTGTTCTGTTCAAATGACCAGCCTCCTGGCCTACGTACAGGTTCCTCATGAGCACAATTAAGCATTCTAGAATCCCCATTTGTTTTTGCAGTGTTATCCATAATTTGTTATGATCCACACAGTCGAATGCCTTTGCATGGTCAGTAACACACAGGATTTACATTTTCTTTTCAGCCAAGATCCATCTGACATCAGCAATGATATCCCTCATTCCATGTCCTCTTCTGCAACTGGCTTGAATTTCTGGCAGTTCCTTGTCAATATACTGCTGCAACTGTTTTATAATTATATTCAGCAAAATTTCACTCACATATAATATTGTTTGATAATTTCCACATCCTGTTGGATCACCTTTCTTTGGAATGGGCACAGATACAGCTCTCTTCCAGTCAGCTGGACAAGTAGCTATCTTCCAGAATTCTTGGCATAGACAAGTAAGTGCCTCCGGTGCTGTTGTTTGTTGAAACATCTCAGTGGGTATTCCATAAATCCCTGAAGCCTTGTTCTTCACCAGTTCCTTCAGTGCAGCTTGGACTTCTTTCAGTACCATTGGTTCTTGATCACATGCCACCTCCTGCAATAGATGAACATTGACCAGTTCTTTTGGTACAGTAACTCAGCGTAGTCCTTCCATCTTCTTTTGATGTTTCCTGCATCATTCAAGATTTTGCCCATAGAATCCTGCAGCATTTCAACTTGAGTCTTGAATTTTCTTCTTCGTTTCTTCAGTTTGAGAAATGGCAGGTGTGTTCTTCCCGTTTGTTTTTCTAACTCCAGGTTTTTGCACATTTCATTATAATACTTCACTGTATCTTTTCAAGGCACCCTTGAAACCCTCTGTTCAGCTCTTTTATTACATCACTTTTCCCATTTACTTTATCTGATATCTGCGTAAGAGCAAGTTTGAGTCTCTTCTGACATCCATTTTGTTCTTTTCGTCCTTTCCTGTCCTTTTAATGACTGTTTACTTTTTTTGTGTATGATATTCTTGATGTCATCTCACAATTCATCTGGTCTTTGGTCACTGATGTTCAGCACATCAAATCGATTCTTAAGATGGTCTCTAAATTCAGATCGGATATAATCCAGGTGATATTTTGGCTCCTGGTTTAATTTTTTCCAGCTTCAACTTGAACTTGCATATGAGCAATTGATGGTCTGTTCCACAGTTAGCTGCTGGCCTCTTTTGACTGATGATATTGAGCTTTTCCGTCACCTCTTTGCACAGATGTAGTTGATCTGATTCCTATGTATTCCATCTGGTGAGGTCTGTGTATAGCCACCATTTATGTTGTTGTAAAAAGGTATTTGCAATGAATAAGTTGCTGGTCTTGTAAATATCTATCATGTGATGTCCAGTGTAATATTTTCCAACTACCAATGCTTTCTTTCCAACTTTCACATTCCAGTCACCAGTAATAACACATCTTGTTTGGATGTTTGGTCAATTTCCGATGCAGAAGTTGGTAAAAAATCTTCAATTTCTTCACCTTTGGCTTTAGTGGTTGGTGCATAAATTTGAATAATAACAGTATTGACTGGTCTTCCTTGTAAGCATGTGGATATTATCCTATCACTGACAGCATTGTACTTCAGGACAGATCTTGAAATGTTGTTTTTGATGACGAATGTGACAACTCCTTTTCAATTTGTTCATTCCTGGCATAATAGACCATATTTTGTCTGATTCGAAATGGCCAAAACCACTCCATTTCAGCTCACTAATGCCTAGGATATTGATTTTTATGCATTACATTTCATTTTTGACAACTTCCAATTTTCCTAGATTCATACTTTGTACATTCCATGTTCCGATTATTAATGGCTATTTGCAGCTGTTTCTTCCCATTTTGAATTGTACATCAGCAAATGGAGGTCCTGAAAGCTTTGCTCCATCCACATCATTAAGGTCAACTGTACTTTGAGGAGGCAGCTCTTCCCCAGTCGTATTTTGAGTGCTTCCGACCTGAGGGGCCAATCTCCTGGCACTACATCAGACAGTGTTTCACCGCTGTTCATAGAATTTTCCAGCAGTATATCAGACAGTGTTTCACTGACATTCATAAGGTTTTCAGTGACCGATTTTTTCAGAAGTGGATGGCCCCATCCTTTCCAGTCTGTCTTAGCCTGGAAGATCTGCTGGAAGCTGTCCACCGTGGGTGACTCTGTGGCATTCGACATACCGGTGGCTCAGCCTCCAGCCTCACAGCAACACGCAGGCCACCACAGAGCCAGTGTGACAGACGGGGGGTGGGAAACCTGAACAATGCTGCTTTGTTTACTGACCCTCAGTGACAAGGTCTTGCCACACCTGCATTTTAACTGAAGGAAGCTTTGCTTCCTCATAGAGTGCACTGAGGACGGTTGGTAGTTAAGCTCTTGGCTGTTAACTGAGAGGTCAGCAGTTCAGAACCACCCGGAGGCTCCACGGAAGAAAGCCCGGGTGAGCTGCTCCTGTAAAGATCCCCATGCCCCCCAGAAAATGACCTGTTACCGTCAAGGCAGTTCGAACTGACAGCGACCCCATGGGACAAACTGGAACTGCCCCACGGGGCTCCTAGGGCTGTAATCTATGTGGAGGCGGACTGCCACATCTTTCCCTGGTGAAGAGACTGGTGGGTTTGAACCTCCGACCTTTTGGTTAGCAGCCGAGTGCTTAACCATTGTGCCACCAGAGCTCCTTCCTAAGATTACAGCCTAGAAAACCCTGTGGGGCAGTTCTGCTCTGTCCCGTGGGCTCGCTGTCAGTCGGGATCCATTCACCAGCACATAGCAGCTGCGTCTGAGAAACCCTCTCTTCCCTGGTTACCTCGTCAGAGTGGAGCCCCAGGGGACAGGACCCAGGGGCGCGTTTCCACGCGGGAGGTGTGAGGCCTGGGCTGTCTGGGCCGGGGTGCACCCACAGTGGGTGGCAGCAGAGGGCGGTGAGGGGTTGGGCCCATGTCCCCTCACCACACCTCCCCACACACATACACACGCCCGTGTGCAGGAGCCCGGGGCCTCTGAAGTGGCTTTAAGACCTAAGCGTGTCCTTGCTCACCGTGGCGAGGGTTAGGGTAAGGGGGGTGGGTTGCCTTGCGTTTGGATTTGCGCCTTTACCTCTGGCTGCCCAGCCCCCTTGAAGCTGGTCGCCTGGGCTGGGAGTTGGGGTGCAGGGGGCCTGGCTTTCCCTGGGCAGGTGACTGGCCCTCTCCCTGGGAAGCTCGGGGCTGAGCCTTCTGGGACCTGGGCCCTTCCTTCCCGCCCAGATGCTGAAGTTCCATGTGGTCTGCGGGGGCCTGAGGTTCCTGTGCGTTCGCCGTGTCTCCACCATCCCCGCCGCCTCCCCAAATGTCCGGCGCCTGGAATACAAGCCCATCAAGAAGGTCATGGTGGCCAACCGCGGTGAGCGCCCGGGAGTAGGGGCCCTGGCAGCAGCCCCCAGCCTGCCTCCCCTCCTGCTCCATACCCTCCTCCTCCTGACTCTCCGAGGACCCCAGACCCTGACACCACCTCCCCGCCCCCTGCCAGGTGAGATCGCCATCCGCGTGTTCCGGGCCTGCACGGAGCTGGGCATCCGCACCGTGGCCATCTACTCCGAGCAGGACACGGGCCAGATGCATCGGCAGAAGGCGGACGAAGCCTATCTCATCGGCCGCGGCCTCGCGCCCGTGCAAGCCTACCTGCACATCCCCGACATCATCAAAGTGGCCAAGGTCAGTGGCTGGTGGAGCTGGGGCTGGGAGGGCCAGGGCGGGAGGTCACGGGCGGCTGGGGGCCGCCGCGCCTTGGAGTGTCCTGAGGGCAGGGACTGCATCCTGGGCCTTACTCCCTGGCATCCGTCCCCCTGGCAGTGTGCTAAGTAGATGGAGCCAGCTTAACTGAGGGTTTGGTCAAGGTCTGCAAAGGGGTGTGAGGAGAGCGCCGGCCCCTGGGGGCCCCTGGGTGGAGCACATGGTTAAGCACTCAACAACTAAGTGCTGAGTGTTTAGTTAGCACTTTGCACCTGAGCATTTAGCCAGGAGTCGGAATCCATCCTGAGGTGCCTTGTAGGGAAGGCCTGGCAGTCTGCTTCCAGACACTGATGGCCGCCCACAACCCCGTGGAGAACAGTTCTACTCTGAAACACGCGGAGTCACCACGAGTTGGAATCCACTGGAGGGAACTGGTTTGCTTTTTGTTTTTCTGTGTCCCTGACCCACCCTCTCCTCACAGGAAAATGGTGTGGACGCAGTGCACCCTGGCTACGGGTTCCTCTCGGAGCGAGCAGACTTTGCCCAAGCCTGCCAGGACGCCGGGGTCCGGTTCATTGGGCCGAGCCCCGAGGTGGTCCGCAAGATGGGAGATAAGGTGGAGGCCCGGGCCATTGCCATTGCCGCTGGTGAGTGTGGCTGGCAGCCTCAAGGCCAGGCAGCTCTGCAGGCAGGGAGCGCCAGGGAGAAGGCTGGCCAGGGTGTTTGTGTCCTTGGTGGGTTTGGCAGGGATGCCAGCCTGTTTGGAGGCCCCCACACACCTGTCTCCCCACAGGTGTCCCCGTGGTCCCCGGCACAGACGCCCCTATCACCTCCCTACACGAGGCTCATGAGTTCTCCAGCACCTACGGCTTCCCCATCATCTTCAAGGCCGCCTATGGGGGCGGGGGGCGTGGCATGAGGGTCGTCCACAGTTACGAGGTGAGCACAAGCCAGTGCCGGGAGCCTCCGCAGAGTGGAGCCTGCCCAGGGCGTGGGAAGCCCTGCCCAGGGTGTGGTGGAGGGAAACACAGAGGTGCTGGGGCGCGGGAACCCAGGGCGTGGCAGAGGGAGACAGGAGCTGTGTGTCCCCAGGAATTGGAGGAGAACTACACCCGCGCCTACTCAGAGGCCCTGGCTGCCTTCGGGAACGGGGCGCTATTTGTGGAGAAGTTCATCGAGAAGCCACGCCACATCGAGGTGCAGATCCTGGGTGAGTGGGTGCGGCCAGGGCTGGGCGGCGGAGGCGGGAGCTGGGCAGGTCCTGGCCTTCCTGGGTTCCAGCAGTGGGCCTTTGGGATAGCCTGGGGTGTGTCGGGGGCTCCCCAGAACAGCGGGCTCTTGGGGGCAGGGCGGGGAGTGGCAGCATTTCTCTGCACCTCCCACTGCTGGGTGCAGACATGACTGGTCACTTGGGGTCCTCAGGAGTTAGGGGGCCTTTGTTGGGTGCCATTGCATCAGCCCCGCTTGTAGCCATCCTGCAAGACAGAGTAGACTGCCCTGTGGGTATCCCGGGTTGTGATGTTTACAGAGACCACCAGGTCTTCCTTCCACGAAGCCACAGGTGGGTTCAAACTGCTGACCTTTCAGGTAGCAGCCAACCCCTAACCACTGCCCCACCAGGCTCTTCTGGGAGGCGTTTAGGTTCCTGCCCAGCTGAGCCGTTTCCCTCCCCCCAGGGGACCAGTACGGGAACATCCTGCATCTGTATGAGCGAGACTGTTCTATCCAGCGGCGGCACCAGAAGGTGGTGGAGATCGCACCTGCTGCCCATCTGGACCCCCAGCTCCGGACCCGCCTCACCAGCGACTCCGTCAAACTTGCTAAGCAGGTGAAGGGGCCAGGGTTCACCAGGCAGGGTCTACTTAGAGACAGGGACCCTGGGCCTATGGCACTTGGTGTTTCTGTGGGCACCAGACCTCATGGCTGGTGGTCACCTGGACTCAGGGCGGACAGCGGCTGGGAGCAGGGAGGCCGAGGGTGACCAGGCACAGAGTGGACAGCGGCTGAGAGTGGGCAGCCTCATGGCTGGTGGTCACCTGGACTCAGGGTGGACAGCGGCTGGGAGCAGGGAGGCCGAGGGTGACCAGGCACAGAGTGGACAGCGGCTGGGAGTGGGCAGCCTCATGGCAGGTGGTCACCTGGGCACAGGGCAGACAGCGGCTGGGAGCAGGGAGGCGAGGGAGGGACAGTGGGTTCTGTCCAGAGGGATGTACTCAGGCATTTCTTCCTCACTCCTCTCGGCTGCCTCCTCCATCAAGGCATTGTCATCTGTTCCTCCTAAGCCCATCTTGCTGGTCTCTGCTCGCTGGGTGACGTGCTAGAGTGAGGAGTGTGGTTAGGGGAGCATGACGAATTGCCTCCTGAGCAGTGATGTGATCTGTCTTCCTCTGCCCCCCCCCCGCCCCCCGGGCCCAGGCCTTCATTTCCCACCCTGTCTCCTCAGCCCCTACCTTCACCTTCCCTTCCCTGAACCCCCGGCACCAGGCGTGTCCACATTTTCTTCCCTGGCCTCGTCCTGTGCCCCCTCCTCGCTGTGCCACCTCAGCCCCACTCAGGCAGCCCGGCCTGTAGAGATGGCCTCCTCATGCCGGAAGCCGGGTCTGCTTCTCGGTTGGGCTGCAGCTGCAGTAGATGTGAGGCCTGGCCAGGACCTCCTTACAGCTGGGGCTCCCCTCCTTCACTGAGAGTCATCTCGCCCTGAGTTTGTTCTCGTTTGCTGGATTAGGCCCCGTCTCCTTCCAGCCTAGATTTGAGGGTGCTAATTGAGAGCTCTGGTAACATAGTGGCTAAGACACTTGCCTGCTAACCAGACAGCTGGCGGTGCAAACCCATTAGCCACTCCTCGGAAGGAAGGTTGGGCAACCTACTTCCGTAGTGATACTGCCTTGGAAACCCAAGGAGGGGTCGCTATGAGTCGGGGCTGACTCGACGGCACATGACAACAACAACAACAATTGAGAGCCTAGTGTGTGTTGGGGCAGGGGACCCAGAAGTGGAGCTGGGTCAGGGCTAAACGGGAGGTAGGGCATCACTGCTGTCAAATGACATCTGGCTGGGGCCGCCAGTGTGAAATGGGTCCGGGCGGCGGGGCTCTGGTGGGTGGGTGCCGTGCCAGAGAGCCAATAAGGTGACAGGCAGGGTCTGAGCTGGAGGAAGGGAGGGGTCTCTGCATGAGGGGGTCTGGGTTCCGGGCACTCTGTCGCTGTGCAGCCGAGGCCAGAGCTGGGGCTGTGCCTGTTGTCTCTGGGGGAGGGGTTGGCTGCTGGTCTGCTCTTCTGTGAGGGCCAACCCGAGGGTGAGATGGGGCCCAGCCTTCTGCATCCCACTGATGCAGCCGCCCCACAGGTGGGCTATGAGAATGCGGGCACTGTGGAGTTCCTGGTGGACAAACACGGCAGGCACTACTTCATCGAGGTCAACTCCCGGCTGCAGGTGGAGCACACGGTCACCGAGGAGATCACAGAGTGAGTGGGGGCTGGGTCAGGCTGGGCTTGGGTGAGGGAATGGGGTCTCAGTCACAGAGAGGGGCAACTTTGGTGGGAGGTCCAGGAACTGCAGATGGTAAGGAGAGCCAAGAGGGCATCTTCAGTCCTAATGAGAAGGCCACATGGCATGCTACTCGGGGAGCGTGACCAGGAGAATCGTGCCCGGGGGCTCAGAGCCCATCCACTCAGGCCAGAATGCACTTGGAACCAGGTGCTCCATTTTAGTCTTGTCATTAGGAAGGCATTCCATAGTCACTGAAAATTAGTACAAGGAGCAAATAGGATGATCTCTGGCCCCCTGCTGAGAGCTCACGGCTGGGCTCCAGGCCAGAGCTGCAGTGTTTCCTGGGACCCTTACCAGAGCACTGTGTGGAAGGCGCCAATCCTCCTGAAGACAGAGAGGCCCAGAGAGTTGCCTGGGGTCACACAGCTGGGCTTACGCCGCATCTCTCCGGCCTTGCTCCACCGTGCCGTGTCTGCCGTGCCCACTCTGTCTGGTGGTTCGTTTCTTTCCACCTTGGCTTATATTTTTATATGACTATTCGTACAAAATCGAGATGTTCTATGTAGAATTTTTATTGCCTGTTTTGAAAAAAATTTTTATTGTGATTGTGGTGAAAGTTTACAGAGCACATTCATCTTCCACACAGGAGCTCACATACATTTTGTCTCATGACATTGACTGAAATTTCCCACAATGCAACAGCTCCCCTCCCACTTCCTCCCCATAGTCACCTCTTCCCTGTGTCCATCCCTCCATGGACTCCTGCCCCCTGAGCTGTCTCCCTGTGCATATACAGCCCTTCTTTCTCCCATGATTGTTCTCTCCAAGAAGTGTGTCTACCTATTGTAAATGCTCAGCTCATAGGCCTGTGTTTTGTTTGGCTGGAAGCCACAGGAGTGGGTTCAGTTCCAGACCTGAAGGACAGCTAGGGGTCATAGTCTCAGGGGTTCCACCAGGCTCTATCAGACCAGCAAACCTGGTCCCTTTTTTTTTAAAGATGATTTTGAGTTTTGTTCCACATTGTTCTCCCACTCTATCCAGGATCTCCTCCATAGATCCCCCTCTGAGTGGCTGACAGTGGGAGCCAGGCACCATCTAGTTCTTCTGGTCTCACAGTCGTATAGGCTGAGGATCGCATGGTGTACTAGTCTATTGCCCTTTAATTTAACATTTCTTGGAGGCATTTCCCTATGCCATTATTCTTTCTAAATACTGCTGTCATTGTTGTTATATGGTACTGAGTGGATTTTTTAACTCATAGTGACCCATGTGACAGAGTAGAGCTGCCCCATAGGGTTTTCTTGGCTGTTGTTAGGTGCCATAGAGTCAGCTCCGACTCATAGTGACCCCACGTGCAACAGAACGAAACCCTGCCCGGTCCTGAGCCAGCCTCACAACCCTTGCAATGCCTGAGCCCGTCGTTGCAGCTACTGTGTCAGTCCATCTCGTTGAGGGCCTCCCTTTTTTTTCCTGCCCCTATACTTTACCAGGAATAACATCTTTCTCCAGGGAATGGTCCCTTCTGACCACATGACCTAAGTGGGTGAGACAAAGTCTGGCCATTCTCCCTTCCACGGAGCATTCCAGCTGCACTTCCTCCAGGGCAGATTTGTTGATTTTTCTGGAAGTCCATGGTACTTTCAGTATTCTTCACCAGCACCACAACTCAAAAGCATCACTCTTTTTCGGTCTTCCTTACTCATTGTCCAGCTCTCACAGGCATATGAGGCGATTAAAAATAAATACCATGGCTTGGGTTAGACAAACCTTTGTCTTCAAAGTGACATCTTAATACTCCTTAGCACTTTAAAGAGGTCTTTTGCAGCAGATTTGCCCAGTGCAAACGTCATCTGATTTCTTAACTGCTGCTTCCATGGGTGTTGATTGTGGATCCAATAAAATGAAATCTTGACCACTTCATCTTTTCTCCATTTATTGTGATGTTTATTGGTCCCTTGTGAGGAATTCTGTTTTCTTATTTTGAGGTGTAATCCATACTAAAGGCTGTTGTCCTTGATCTTCATCAGTGTTTCAAGTCCTCTTCAGTTTTAGCAAGTAAAGTTGTGTCATCTGCATATCGCAGGTTAAGGGGTCTTCCTCCAATCCTGATGCCACGTTCTTATTCTTATAGTCCAGCTTCTCAAATTATTTGCTCAGCATACAGATTGAATAAGTATGGGGAAGGGATACAACCCCGACACACACCCTTCCTGATTTTAAACCATATAGTATCCTCTTGTTCTGTTCAAATGACAGCCTCCTGGTCTATATACAGGTTCCTCATGAGCACAAAATTAATTGTTCTGGAATTCCCATTCTTCTCAATGTTACCCACAGTTTGTTACGATCCACACAGTCAAATGCCTTCACATAGTCAATAAAACACAGGCTTTGTGAAAGTAGATTGCCAGTTTTTTTCCCCATGGAGCCCCACTGAGTAGGTTTGAACCACCAACATTTGGATTAGTAGCTGAGTGCTTTGTGGCTGCACAGCATTTGATCATCTGTACGTCTCATGACTTACTCTCTTAGTCTCTATTACCTGATGGTTAGATTGCTCCCAGATTTTGTAGTAACTGAGGGTGCGTCACTTAACATCCTTGACTTGATGAGGTCTGGGGAGACGCCCCAGAGTTGATTACTGGGTCAGAGACAGGCATCTTGCCTCAGTTCTAGGTAGGCTGTTCCTGTCTGTTCTTCTGTAAGCATTGAATGTGGACATTTTCAGCAATCTGCCTGTTTGATAAATAACAACTGAAAATGGTCTTGCATTGTCTCAAGATGCGTATTTGGAGCCCGCTGAGTGCTTAGCCTGGCCTTGCCACGGTCCGTCTCACCATGGAACAGGCCTGACTTCTTTTGCTTTCCCAATGCTAGCTGGTGTGGCAGCTATGGGCTGGTCTCCTGCCCTAGCCTCCCCCACAGGTGTATGGAGCCCCTCACTGTCTCAGGTACGGGTCTGAGTCAAGGTGTATGGCCCATGAGACCCTGGAACTTTCCCCATCATGCTGCTAAGATCTGTTGCCGCTGGGCCCAGGCTCTCTGAGGGTGATGTCTCTGCTGCTCTGAGGCAGCGTTCTGTGGGCAGACACTCTGGGCCTCAGGTTCCTCCTGGGTCACCAGGCGTGGAGCTCGGGGACCTCAGGGGCAGATACAGGGCACAGCCATGGTTTGTGGCGGCAGGAGCTGTGGCGATAAATGGTCATTATCGTCACCACTGTGGAGCGGGTGAGCGGGAGACACAGAGAAGAGCAATCTGCCATGTGTTCTCCGGGCCACCCTCCCTGCCAGCCTCAGCGACAATAGATGTCACACCTTGCGGGTTGTGTTTGTAACAGCTGTTCCTTGGATGTACGACTGTCCTCAGTAGCGTGACAGGCTGCAGGGCTGAACGAGGGAAGCCAGGCACCCTAGGGAGCCTTGTACGTGGAAATTTTCACTGGGGAGGGTGTCAGGAGCCGCCAGTGAGAACCGGGAGGGTGGGGGCTTGGCTGCTGTGCCCCCCTCTTGCACCAGCCCTCCTGCAGCTGCAGGACCCCCGACATGCGCACAGTGTACCACGCATAAGAATGGTCTTGACCCTCAGACCTAGCAAACTGAGGCTTCAGAACCAGACTGGACAGACAGATGGAGAGTTTCAGCCGCAGGAGGACAGAGAGCTGGGGAGGAGGCAGGGGGAGAGGGCAGAGTTTTTCAGGGAGGGCGTCTCGGCCACGAGAGGGGGCCCAGCTCAGTCTGAGTCCTTCCACAGGCTCCTGGGCGGTGGCTGGGGCCTCTGTCACTTAGAGTGCAGTCTGCCATCACCCTGGTGGCAAGGGAGGGTGTGGGGGCCGCGTCGGTGTCACACTGCTGTCCTCCATCCCAAGCCTCTGCTTCCGCCCCTCCGCTCACCCCTCGGGTCTTCCTGTCGCCTGCAGTGTGGACCTGGTCCATGCCCAGATCCACGTGGCAGAGGGCAGGAGCCTGCCGGACCTGGGCCTGCGGCAGGAGAACATCCGCATCAATGGCTGTGCCATCCAGTGCCGGGTCACCACGGAGGACCCCACACGCGGCTTCCAGCCCGACACCGGCCGCATCGAGGTGGGCAGCACCGCACCCAGGAGTTCCTGCAGCAGGGGCCCCCAGTGGGTGGTCTTAAGCCAGCTTAGAGCATGTGGGGGGCTGGCTGTCTGATGGAAAGGGGGAGAGTGTTTCTGAGGAGGAGACTGGCGCCACGAAGCCTCGGGAAACCCAGTGAGCAGGTCACATGGGGAGCAGCCTGCTATGTGCAAAACAGAGAGGTTGCAGTGCACCCGGAAAGGCCCAGCTCCTCGGCCTGGCACTCTCCCGCAGGAGAGCAGAGCCAGGACTCCCAGCCTGTCGCCGGCATCTGACCAGGGCGCCACTGGCCAAGGGACTGCTGAGGGGTGTGGCACAGGATTGGGGCGTGAGTCCCAGGGGCAGGCGTGATCCGGGCCACGGGCAGGGGGGAATGGGGTGTCAGGAGGTGGTGGGGCGAGGAAGAGACAGCAGGCCTCGGAGCCCAGGTGCTGCAGTGGCCAGAGGAGACGTGAGAGGGGCTGCTGAATGGGCTGGCCGGGCTTGCTGGCCTTCTCTCTCCCCTGGCTGCCGTCTCCAGCCTCCCTCGGAGCCCTGCTTGGTCCCATCCCTTCCCCTTCATCCCTCCTGGCTCAGGCGGCCTCTGGGTCCTGCGGGTCAGCATGCCATCTCTTGTAGTGCTGCCTCAGCACTGCCCATCTGGCCCGAGCCCGGCGGGCAGGGCCCTTGGAGAAGCTCAGGGAGGAGCCATGTGGCCAGGCGAGGGGGACTGGGGACAAGATCCTGGGCTCCTGGGCCAGTGACGCCAGCAAGGGTGGAGCTGGGAGGACGCGGTCGGCGGCGAGCCAGGGCTTCAGGCTGGGCTCAGGTTCTGGAAAGATGGAGGCCAGAGGCGGACTCCGTCCAGGGGGCCCGAGTCCTCTGACCTCGGCCAGCAGGCAGCAGGGTGTCCCGGCCCTGTCGCGCTGCTGTCTGTCTGCAGCTCTGCTGACAGGCCCAGCTCCTTAGAGCCTGGTTTACCACGAAATATTTTTAGCTGACAGTTCCTGCTCACGGCTGAGTGTTCACCCTTCAATATTTTATTAAGTTCCTTTTCATCGAACACAGGCCTGTGCCCCTCAGAAACGGAAGCGTGGTGCAGTGGGTGCCCCAAGCCCCTCGGGGCGACCCTCTCACTCCGCGTCTTCCCTATATGGACCTTCCAAATGCCCCCAACCCCTCCCTCAGTGTCAGCTCTGCCCCATGTCCTGCCGTAGGGGTGCACGTGCATCTGCAAGCATGTGTGCATGTGGGAGTGGATGCACACATACATGCATGCCTGTGCACATGCACACACGGGTGCACACACATGTGCGTATGTGTGTGCTGGAGTTGCCCACCGGTCCCCAGCCCCTTTCCCACCCCCGGGCGTCCTTTCCAGCAGACTGCGGAAGCCCTCACCTACCTCTGCCTGGCTGCCTCCCACCCACTCACTCTCCCTTCTCTCTTTTTGTTTGCTTCTCATTCTTGGGGGGGTGTGTGCATGTGTGCTTGTGTGTGTGCATGCTTGTGTGTGCTTGTGTGTGCTCAGGTATGTGTGTATGTATGTGTGCTCACATGTGCACACATGCTAGTGTGTCTTCTGTGCACATGTGATCATGTGTGCATGTGCTTATGTCCATGTGTGCTTGTGTGTGCATGTATGCTCATTTGTGCTTGTGTGTGCATGTGTGTGCATGTCTGCTTGTGTGCACTCATATGTCTTCACATGTAACCATGTGTACTGGTGTCCGTGTATGCTTGTATGTGTGCGTGTGTCCATGTGCCTGTGCATGTGTGCTCATGTGTGCTCATGTGTGCATATGTTCATGTGTAATGTGTGCATGTGTACTCACGTGTGCTCACATTCATGCACGATGCATGCGCATGTGTATGCATGCGTGCTTGTGTGTACGTGTGTGTGTGCCTGCCTGGCTGTTTCCCTCCTTGCACATAATCACTTTTCCTTCATCGAATTCTCGGTCTTTCCTTATCTGCTTGTCTCCTTCACTTCCTCCTCCCCGTCTTCCTCCCTTTGCCCCTTTTGGAAGGAAGGTGGGTGGCCGGGAGGCCTTCCCCATCACTCTTATATTCTAGGTAAAGACACAAAACAGAAGAAAAACCCTCTGACCTCTTTGCTCGGCCTGCCTGCCCCATTCTTGCTTCACTGTCCCTCAGGGTTCCTGTCACTCTTTGCCACCTGGGCTTTCCCTGTCTGTCTGTCTCTTCCGTAGCACACTAGAGCCTGTGGGAACAGGACTCTACTTCGAGTGCTCAGTCGCCACTGCCTGCCACATCACTGGTGCTCTGAGCGTCTGTGCAATGAGTGAATGAACAAATGAATCCGGAAGGCAGGGGGTGTCAGGCAGGCATGGGAGGGCCTTTTCAATGTGGCAGGCTTTCTCCCTGTCTGTCCACGTCAGGGTCCCCTCCAGGGAGGAGGCGGCAGTGACTGTGGGGCTTGGGGGGTGTGGGGGGGGGTGCCCTGGGTTTTCCTGGCCGAAATAAAGCACAACTCACAGGGAAAGGGGAGGGGGTTGCCCGGTGTCCACATCATGGAGCCTGACTCCCACCCGTGACCTGGTTTGGACGTCCACACCCCTCTCCCTGCAGGTGTTCCGGAGCGGAGAGGGCATGGGCATCCGCCTGGACAATGCCTCCGCCTTCCAAGGTGCCGTCATCTCTCCCCACTACGACTCCCTGTTGGTCAAGGTCATCGCCCATGGCAAAGACCACCCCACAGCCGCCACCAAGATGAGCAGAGCCCTGGCCGAGTTCCGCGTCCGTGGCGTGAAGGTGAGCTGCTGCGGGCCCTGCCGGACAGCCTGCACCGCGGCTGCATTGTGCCCACGGCCGCTGCCCACCGCAGCCCCATAGCAGGGCAGGGGTGGGCTCTGCCTCAGTCCCTTCTGGCTTTGGCTTGGTGGGGTCAGTGGCTCTCCCAGCTGCCTTGAGATATGGCCGGGCCCCTCAGCTGCTTCTTCAGAGGCTGTAACTGCACAGCAGGCCCGACAGGCACCGTCTGGAGCCCTGTCCTGGGTACACCTACAGCTTCCTGCCCCTCATATAACAGTCCCGCGCATGTTACCGGACCTCCCTTCTGGAAGCTCCGATCCGCCAGGTTTGAGTGAGAGCCCGGGAGCCAGTGCTTAGAGCTGCTCTGCAGGGCGTCCTGATTTCCAGGAAGGTGGGTGGGTGAAGAGCACAGACCCGATGGGGAGAGGGTCATGTTGGGTAGAGTCAGGCCGACCCGTCTGCCCCACCGTCCTGCGATGCCTAGTACATGCCTGTTGGTACTGAAGGGACAGTGGGGGGTGGCTGCAGCCAGGCGCAGGAGCTCAGGCCGGGAGGATACACCTCGCCCTCGGGCGCAGCTCGGCTTAGAGGCTCAGTGAGGACTTGAGCCCTTTTGTCCATCCCGTTGTATCCATAGCTAGCTGTGATCTCACAGCTAAGAGGCACCATCTTGTCCTTGAAGCTGCCACCTGCCCACATAGCTGTGGGAATCCTGGGGTCGGCGCCACTGCCTGAAACTCTGGCAGGGCAAGAGGAGCAGGAGAAGGGGTCCCTATGAGGGCCGGCCGCTGGGCAGTGCCTTCCTCTCCCACCTCCTCTCGGGCTGCCCACCCCTCACCACCCCCAGGATGCACTGGGAGCGCAGGCTGAGCCCTGAGCCTCTTCCCCGTATCTTCCAGCCTCTCGGTTGCACTTGGCTGCTAGGTGGGGCTGGGTGGTGGTCCCTCAGTGCCCACGCTGCTTTCTCTGCCAACGGGGTGCTGCGACATGTCCTAGGATTGCTTGCTGGGTGCAGAATGAAGCCTTTTGGAAAATCGTGGGTGGGTGCTGGGCTCTGGGGCCCGTGACCACCGTGTGGGCAGCCAGCATCGTGGTCTCACATTCACCTCTCGAGGGAACAGCGTGTTCACGTTCCAGCTGTTTTGCCGACATTGGGAGGGTCTCCCCACTTGGTGTCTGCTCTGGGGCAGAGAAGCGTTGTGGTTTAATGCCTGTGTTCCTGTGTTCCCCCGGCTCTGGCAGCCGGCACTTGGCATCCCCACACCTGGGCATTCTGTGACTGCTCCCATGTCGGGCGGGGCCGTGCCAATCCTGCCTGTGGCTCCAAGCTGTCTGGCTGGGGGTCCCGGTCGGCTCCCCAGTGGTTCCTCCTCAGCCATGTGCCCAGTGCACCCCTGGGGCCAGTACCTGCCACCTGTCCCACCCCAGCAGGGCCCAGGGCATCCACCCCCTTGGAACCACTGTAGGGTGTGAAGAAACACACCTGGGCCTGCATCCTGGGGACTCCGAGGAGACTGGGGGGCTGCAGCGGGATACGGGTTTCAGGGGCACCCGTGTCTTCCTCAGATGTGATGCTAGACCGGCTAGGCCACTGGCTCCTACGTCCCTCCCCCACAGACCTTCCCTGTCGACCCCTGGCCCTGCTGGGCCGGCCTCTGCCTTGCAGCCCCTGCGAAGGGGCTGAGCTCTGGGTTGGGGGCTGGCAGGGACTCGGGTTCATAGGAAAGTTGTTGGCTTTTGAGGGGTGGGATCCCAGCAGGGGTGTGGCCGTGCGTGTGTGTTTACAGGTGTACGTGCCCATGGTGTCTGCCTTCAGTCCCCATTGTGTCCCCACTGGCCAGCTGTCTCCTCTGCATTTACAAACCCAGAAGATGCCCTGGGGGTGGGGTGGGCAAGGCCGCCACCCACAGGAGCTAGGCGACGTGTTTACTGACTTGTGCTGAGGAGATGCGGCCAACCTGGATTCTTTTAGTCCAAAAGGGCCACCACCCACCACCTCCTCCCGTCACTAAGTTCAGATGATCTGCCTTGGGGACTGTGACGCCCACCCTGGCTGAGTACCCTGCTGCCAGCCTTGCCTGTGTGGGTACCACACCCTCACCCCACCTGCACCTCTGGTAGATGGTCTTCTCTGCAGCTTCCGGGCAGGGAACAGGCCACAGAGTACGGTCAGCCTGCCCAGGCCCACAGCCACTGAGGGCCCTAGAGCCAGCAGACAGCACCGGGCATGCCCCTTGCCCCTTGCGGTCCCTTGGGCCATGAGGCTGAGGGGCCCAGGCTCTTCAGGTGCCTCCGCTGGGCCTAGAGGCCCCTCCCCGACCCCTCCTGCTTCGTGGACCCGTGTGTGCCACTCACCTTGCCCTCCCTCCCCACTCCCTCGGGAACCCTAGCAGGACAAGGCCAGAGACCAGCACTGAGGTGTCCCCAACGATTTTATTATAAATAAAAACAAGACTCCTGCTTGGTGGCTGCAGCCCCTGCCTTGGTGGCCGTGAGCACCTGTCAGAGGGACTGCTCCCCCACCCCCATCTGGAAGCCAGGACCGTAGAAAGGGTCCCTGTCCGGGCAAGAGCACAGGGGAGCCTGAGGTACCGAGAATAAAAGCCGGAAGGGCTCCGGGCAGGTGCCCCCACCCAGGCGGGGCCTGCCTGCCCCTCACTCGGGCCCTGTTCTGCAGAGTTGAGGGATGCAGGGATGCCCCTTGCCACCCCCTCACACAACACTCTCCTCCAGCCACTCCGCACTGCCCCCCACCCCCCGGCACCCTGCCCCAAGCAGCCCCCCGTGCACAGAGTGGCTCCGTCGAGCCCAGGCCCCTCCCAGGCGCCTGGCGTAACCATAGCACCCACCAGTGTCGCCCAGGTCCAAGGAGCAGCTGCGCTGGGGGCGGGGCGGGGGGCTCCGTGGCGGGTGGCTCTTGGGCGTGGGGCTGGGACCTCCATTGGTCTGAGATTGGACATGGCTGAGCTTGAGGGGCAGGCGGCCATTCCCAGCCCCCCGGCCCCGAACCAGCAAGGCCACAGTGAAGACCAGTAAGGCAGCCACCAGCACCCCCCCCACGGCCACAGTCAGGGTCCCGCCCAGCACGTGGGCCTGCAGGGCGTGGCACAGGGGCGTGGCTGGCAGCGTGGAGAAGTGGACACAGCCCAGCAGCCTGGTGGCCGTGAGGTCAGAGGGCCCTGCAGCAGGTGACAGGGCCAACAGGCAGAGGTCGTAGTCTGCACCAGGGACCAGATGCTTCAGCAGGAAGTGGTGGCTGGAAGCCGGGACGATCCTGGGAGCAGGAGTGGGGGGGGGTCAGGCTGGGGGAAAGGGGTCCAGGCTCAGCTCCGGGCACAGCCCCTCCCCCAGGACCACCTCTGTGGGTTCACTTGAGAAAGCAGGGAAGCGAGACAGGCACCTGAGCGTGGCCCAAGAGACGAAGGGACAGATGTGCATGTGCACTGACACACAGCCCACAAGCTGACATGAGAGGTACCTCAGCAGAGGCAGGTGGCGTGTGCACAGGCCCACGTGCGTGCGCACTGATGAAACCACCCCCAGACCAGGTCGGGAGGCGGGCACCCCAAGCAGGAAGGCCTTGCAGTGGGTCGCCTGGTGCCTGACCCCCCACAGCCCCACCACAGCCCAGGCAGCTGGGCAGTCTCGGCCCCGGGCCGGGCCTGCTGTCCCTACGAGTGTTTACAAGTGGCAGGGTCGGGCCTGAGGGCAGGAGCGGGGCTGCAGGACACATTCTCACCTGTAGACGAGGGTCTCGTCCTCGCTGCTGTTGTACTGGATCTGAAACATCCACACCGGCTCGGCCGGCCGCCCTGGGCCCCAGCTCACCAGCCCTGAGGTGGCAGTCACCTCGGTCACCTGCACGGCTGCTTCGGCCTCCGGAGCCCCCTCCCCCTCGGCAGCAGTGCGAGCCGAGGCGGCGATGTCCGAGGGCCCGGGGCGGCCGCCCTCGGCACTGCTGTTCCCGCCGTGCGGCAGGGCCAGCACCCGCAGCTCCACACGCGCTGTGGCCTCGCCGGCAGGGTTGGTGGCAATGCAGGTGTAGGCCCCTGCGTCCCCAGCGCCTGTCACCCCAAGCTCTAGGGTCCCGTTGGGGAAAGCCCGGGCCCGGGAGGAGTTGCCAACCAGCCGGTCGTCGGGGCCGACCCAGTGCATGGTGGGCACAGGGTCACCCAGGGCCCGGCACCTCAAGGTGGCCCGTTGGCCCTCCAGCACCCAGAGGCGCTGCGTGTGGCGGGCGATGAGGGGTGGCTCACAGAAGAACTCGCCCTCGGGCACGGTCCAGAAGTAGCGGCCGGCCAGGCCCGGCGGTGAGGCGCACGTCTCCAGGTCATCGGGCCGCGCCAGCCGCCGCAGCCAGAGCAGCTCGCAGTTGCAGTGCAGCGGGTTCCCGCTGAAGCTCAGCACCAGAGGCGCAGGCGAGGCCTCGGCGTCGCGGCCCCGGGAGAAGAGCGGGTCGGGTGCCAGCGTGGCCAGGCGGTTGGAAGTGAGGTCGAGGCGGGAGAGCTGGCTGAGCTGGGCAAAGGCCCCCGGGGGCAGGGCGTCAATGAGGTTGTGGTCCAGATTAAGCGTGTGCAGGGCGGGCATGGCCCCGATGCCGGCCCAGGGCACCTGCCGCAGGTTGTTGTAGGACAGGTCCAGGTCCTCGAGGCTCTCCAGAAAGTCGTCGAAGGCGCCCGGTGCGATGCGCCCCAGCTGGTTCCCGCTGAGGATGAGGTGCTGCAGGTTGGCAGGCCCGCGCAGGCTGCCGGCGCCCAGCTCCACCAGCCGGTTGCCGTCCAGGTGCAGCGAGCGTAGGCTCTCCAGGTCCCCGAAGGCGCGGGCACTGATGCGGGTGATGGCATTGCGGGACAGCGTCAGGTCCACCAGCCCCGTCATGTTGCGGAAGTCGGGAGGGCCCAGGGCCTGGATGAAGTTGTCCGCCAGCCGCAGCTCCACCGTGCGCCGGTCCACGTTGGGCGGCACGAAGAGCAGGCCTCGGTGGGCGCACAGGGTGCTGAGTGACTCAGACAGGTTCTGGCAGACGCAGGGCAGCGGGCAGGCGGCCGCCGCACCGGCCAGCAGCAGCAGCAGTGGCAGGAGCAGCGGGGCCATGGCGAACGCCCTGCGGAGAGGGAGGGCCACAACCCGGGCACAGGTGGGGCTGGCGCAGGTGCCCACCTGTGCCCGGGGACCGCGGTTCCAGGAGCCGGGCCTAGTCCCGGGAGGGGACCAGGTTCAGAGGCCTAAGGGCCCCCGCCTGGGCTGAGGGATGGCTGGGGCCTGCAGAGCCAGGCCCCACTGGGTACAAGTCACATGTTCCCATCGGTTGGGGTACTCCAGGCGCTGGGGACAAGGTGAGACACGAGGCAGGAAGCGGAGGTGGGCACGCGAGCAGGGAGGGTCCCGGAACTTCCTTTCCCAGGCGTCCCCGGAATCGCCGGGCTCCCCTCCCCCGCCCGGGAAGGCCCCCCCC